TTCACTTATGCGAGTAATTGGCTATTGAAATTACTATTCTTTTATCTTTGACGTTATTTAAACACTAGTTTAAATGGGGTGAGACAGACTGCATTGTAAATGGGTAGCCACGTTGCTGGGGACAATGTTTTTCTTTCTCTTGTCAGAGAAGTATATTTATGCCTTGACAGAAAACCTCTTTCCTTTCTGAGTGATCTTGACATTCGTGGAGGTGTTTGCACTCTACTTGATGTGGTGCAGCTTTGTAGGCAGAGTTAGAACAGGCTGTTGCTTGTTCTGCACAAGAGGTGCTCTCCTTGGTCAGTGTTTAGGTATGGTCACTACAGACTTGTTCCTAGACACCGTTCCTCAAAACCTGCCACAGAGCCTCCTCCTAGCTGATGTATTCGAGAAAGATCTTGAGGCCACATTTGTGACCTCACCACATGGGATGTGCTTGTGGCCTCGTTGAATCAAATCCATGCCTCTCAAGGACATTCCCTTCTCCTTCCCATGTTCTTTCTCTTTCTTCCTGTTGTCCCTTGTGCCTGAGATGATTAAGGAATTGGTAGTTTTTACAGAGTTTGCAAGGCAGCACTGCGAACTCTGGCCAATGGCTCCAGGGACCTTTGGATGTTGGACATGAAACTGTATGACTTGCACTGTCAGTGTTACAGGGCGATGGGCTCATGTCACAGGATTCAGTCTGTTGTGAGAACAAAGATCTTAAGATTCTGCTCAGTCCTAAATTCCCCAACTTTCTTCTTCTGGTAGTGTTTGATTCTCAGGTCTTTCTGAGGCAGCAGTGAACTGCAATAGATTCATTTCATTATTCCTTTGAAAAGAGGAAAAAGGACATAGCTAACTATTCCTATGCAGAAGAGGTCAATGTTTAATATGCTAATGTACCTATCCAATTTTAGGCTGCAAAAATCCTTGACTTTAATGTGTCTTTAATAGTTATAAAGTGCTTAGCTAATGATAAATTATGGATTGTGAGTTTGGAGATTTTTTTTTTTAATAAAAAATTAATGTAGGCAGGAATAATTTTTCTTGCTAATATAATTTGTCATACTGGAGCATAGTAGCTGCAATTTGCAGTGGAAATTGCTCTAGGATTGCTCACCTCATAATAATTGAAATGAAGAATCAAATTTCTTTTCTTTAGCCTTAATGTAAATGGACCATAATGGGATAGATGGGGACCGTTTTATCTTTGTTGGTGCAGAACTATACATCCCAAGATACTGAATCTGTAGGTCTCGCCATTTGCCAGAGCATGAAAGACACTTTTATGCCCACAAATATTGTTGTCCAAAAATCCACGGGTAAGAATTTGCTTGTGACCCTGTGCCTTATTTGTCATCACTTTTCAGCATTGTATTGGCTGCTGGAGGAATGATGTTTGTGGGTGACCCGCCCTGCTGCAGTGTTCAGGCAGTGGGACTGCAGAGTTTTTGGGTGTTTTTTTGTGGGGATCCTGGTAAAGGTCCACATAAATAAGGAGTGCAGCAGCAACATTTCAGCGGTCATGTTTGCATCTGCATCACAGAGAGCTGAACAGGACATATTAAAGGAAAGATAATGCTATTTAGTTGGAAAGTGTTTGCAGATTAAGCAGTGTATATAGTCAATCCTTTTTTTTTTTTTCTCCTTTTTTTTTCTTCCCTTTTTCCTCAAGCATTTCTTCATTGTTCACGACTCAGTGCATCAGACTTTCAGAGAAATAATCTACAAATTTCTAGTCACTGTATCTCTTGCTGTATTTACACTGTATCACTGTATTGATCTCTCTACTTTTTTAAAAATTGAGTTTGCACATTTTTGTATTTATGTGTCAAAGGAAATTGGCATCTTATTATTGTTTGATGAAAGAAAACACTTGAAATGCAGTAAGTGATAAACCCTGCTTACCATCTGTTTGGTGAGGCTTCATTTGAGATTCAAAGGAAAGATCTCATGTGAGATTCAGTGAACGTTTTAAATGGTCTCCCTTGCTCTTCCGCAGAAACAGCTCAGCAGTCTGCCAAAAGAGTGAGTTTTTAGGAGAAAGGTAATCTAACTGAAGTGCAGGACCAGGCATTAAGATTTTCTAATTTTCTAAAATTTTCTGAGATTTTCTAAGATTTTCTGCAACTCTTTTGAATTCAGTTTTCAGGGCATATGTGGACGCAAAAGGGATCCCACTGTGGAAACCTAGAGACCTAAAGCACTATGGTGCAACCTTATGTGTTTTGGGTTTTTTTTTTTTTTTGGAGGCTTGAGTCTCTTTTGATGGGCTTATGTAGGGAAGCTTAGATTTGAGTTTTTAAGTGTACTTATTTTTGATGTTTGGTTTGAGTAGCCTTCTGTATGGAAAGAAAAGTTCTAACATAAGTCTGAAGCTCCAAGCCTTGATGTAGGCCTTGCACCTTGAGAAGATGCTTTCTTTAGAATGACTGTGTACCCGTTCTCTTGGACAAGGTTTAATATTGCAGTGCTAACCAACTTAATTGGGCTGGCATAGAACTGCCTTTTTAATCTTTCCAGGCTGTTCAGATCATTTTAGGTCAAATGTAATCAAATCTATAAATTCATAGCTATTGACTTAGAGAATATCAATTATTTCCTAAAGTAGCATCAGTAGTAGTTTCAGTGACCAACTATGTTCGAGTTGAATAGTAGTTTGAGTTTCAAATATGGATGGATATTGCCCATTCAGCAGCATGGTGGTTAGATGTTGGATTCCTATTTTAAGTAATGCTCTATGTTTTCTTAGCTTGGTTATACTGCACTTGTTACCCTAACATATAGCGTCATGTAAGGCATTTGTTATCTTCAGTACAAAAACTACACACATAGAAGTGATGTTTGGTGCCTTGTAACAAAGCTTTACTTTGAACAGGAATTCAAAGTACTAAAAGCACTAAGACCAAGATTTCTTGGTATTAATCCTTTAGGAAATAAGTAAAATCATAGAAAAAAATGTGTTATATCAAGTACCATCCTTAAAGTATTCGTACAATCATTGAAATCTCTGGATATTTAAATACTTAAATAAGAGCCAGATATCCTGAATACAATTTTATGTATTTGTTTCAAGCAGTGTAAGTTATGTGGCACCTGCCCAGCAGGTCGGACAGATGAAGGTAGACTGATGCAATTGGTCCTGAAAGAGTAGTGCTGGAATTGTCTGACGTAAAGCTGAGCTGCCTCCCTCATTCTGCTTTTAACAGTTGATTTTATTGGTGTCATTTCTGATAGCAAAAATCCTTTATCTGTGTCTATGAAAACAGCTATGACAGGCTAAAGCTTGGAATTCCCATGAGGTTGTTAACCTGTCTGGCATTCCTGAAGCAATATGGAGCCTCATTCATATTTGATTCAGAGTTTGCTCAGTGGATACAGTTAATGCTTTCTAGTGCTTCCTGATCAATTTAATAGATTGAGAGTGTAAAGAGGTAGGTAGATGGGCTGTCTAAGCCAGGTCAGTGCCTCCAGGCCTAAGCTCCTGCTCATCTGTATGGGGGATAGTTGGAAACGAGGAGAGCTGGTCTCTGCAAGAACATGTGGAAATCGAAGAAATCATGCAGTGTCAGGAAAGAATTCTGTGGAGGAACAGGTGTTTAAAAGCCTTGAGCTAGTCTAAATTTAAATTGCATCCCTCAATTATCAGGGAAGAGACTGTCCAGTAAGCTTCTCTTACACATTATTAAAGTTTTTTTTGTTTGCCATAAAATCCTAAAGCATCTTAGTTGGCTTAAGGATATCTGAATGCAGTGCTGACCTGAATAAATAGCTGTGCTCTCAAAGGAATGAATATATATGTTTGTATAAAAAGGGCGTGGGAGGAAGTAACAGCAACAATTGGGGTTTTGATAAAGCAAAAAGATATCTTTTAGAAATATGACTTTTCTGTTATTTACTTTTTTTTTTTTTTGGATTGGAACAGTTTTGATACTGACAATTTAGTGCCTGCTTAAGGGGACAGGAAAAGATAAAGGGGAGAAAGTACTCAGCAAGGCAGAGCGCTTACCAGTGTTTGTTTGCTATCTAACTGCTCCTCTCCTTCTGCACTCAGCCTCTCACCTACTGGTCACCACCAGATTCCTGATGTGGGAAAGCTCTCTGCGAGGCCTCCTGTCCTTCTCTTTTATTCAGTGCTGGTTTTGCTTAAAGAGCCTCTATAGGCTATGTCCACCAAGATTGCCACCAACCCACTGTCCTGTCTTGGGCTTTGGAAGGCAGATTTACTCAAATCCCATGTACTTTCATTTGCTTGGAATACTACTGGATATATTGCTTTTTCCTTCTATCGCATGCTTTTTAATAACGACTTGTTGATCCACCAGCTGGCTTTGTAACTGTGCCTGATGCAATCAGAAGAGGAATGTGGCCAGCTACAGTTGAGGGCATTAGCTCTTGCCTCAGGCCTTGTTGTTCTGCCTGAAGAATATAAAACATAATGCAAGTTTTTATATATTATTAAAGTTACATCTATAAATCACTGACCCATGGTAGCTGTTTATTACATATTCCATCTTCTGCTTTGATACATTGTTGTTGTCACGCTGAGGTGGGTAATGATGACTCGGCTTACTACTGTGGTAATGCACTTAGAGCTTGGAAATCTGTCACTGATGGCATTTCAACACAGGCACTATAAACCAGAGATGAAATTTTAAAGTATTTGCTGTCAAGCTATTTGTCTTAAACTTTTTGTATCTTCTATTGCAGTTCCATAAGGGTTTTGATGCTACTGAATTGTTTGATAGACAATAGTTGTGGTTTGGGAGATCTGTGCTGCAGGACTCGCCATCACCGAAGAAATGGTGGTGGTCCTTGTTTTGCAGTGCTAAGCCTGACCTATAAAATGCTTGTGCTCATCAGGTCTTCCTAACAAAACGCCAGGATAGCATGCATTTTGATGGACTTGGCTTTTCTTTTCTTACAGCACAGTGGAACACAGGACAAAAACCACAACATTTTATTATACTTATTGTTTTTTTTCTCTTTTTTTTTTTTTTTTTTTCTTTTTACAGCCCTTCTGTATGCAACCATTTTTGGTAATGTGACAACCATATTTCAGCAAATGTATGCTAATACGAACAGATATCATGAAATGCTGAACAGTGTCCGAGACTTTCTAAAGCTCTATCAGGTCCCTAAAGGACTGAGTGAGCGTGTGATGGATTACATTGTCTCCACCTGGTCAATGTCCAGAGGAATAGATACTGAAAAGGTGAGTAAATTAAACTGCAGGGAAACAATTCACATCCTGAAAGTATTGCATTGGAATAAACAGGAGGTACTTCCATAGTAAAGACAACGTTCTTTAAATAGTATCAAGTAGCAGTTGCCTTTTACTTTAAGCTCTTAAATGCAGCATTTCAGCTATTCTGTCATACTGGCTTACGTTAGTGGTAGAAGTCTGTGAGTATTGCTGGCTATGGAGCATAAAGTATTAGAAAAAACAATGAAAGAGCTTGCATTTCAGTAAGTAAAGAAAATAACTTTAAAATTCTAATACAACTTCAGAATGCCTTCAAATGAGTTTTTTATGCATTTTTTTCTTTTGAGATGTTTGCAGGTATGTGAGCCTGCAAAGTGTAATTTGTTTTGCCTTGGCAGAATTTAAATATAACACTGGAAATACAGTTATGACAACCAGATTTCATTAATAATAATACTGTGTTGTTTAAAAGCTGCTTTGCATGAGGTGAACACTATCATGCTCATTAATTGAATTTACAAGTGAATATTCCATTGTGTGTTTTAGCATGACAAATGACCCTTCTCTTGTGCAAACTACTTTCTGCTCTCATATTAGTTGCAAACTTTTATGGAGATTGATGCTGTTTTACTTCTGCTTTGTGGTTTGTGGGGTGGTTCATTCAGGAAATCATACGAGAGTTCCAGTCACCAGCCTTCTGGTTGGCTGCTTAGTCTTGCATTGAGGACTGTAGATGCTGGAATTAGAGCAAACAAAGTCGTTTCTATCTCATTGTTTAAATTAATGTTATGGAAAGATGTGGCCTCCACTCTGCTGTCTGGAGGCCGATGGTTACAGAGGTTTGTTTGCTTTCCTCAGTGGTCTTCAGCATATCTACTATTTAGATCTCAGACTATGATTCTGGGAGCACTCCCCACAGTAATTAGCTTTAAGAAGGAAAGGATGTTTTAGTACTGAGGCAGACATATTTAGGGAAGATAGATAGCATAAAGAATGCTGGTGCTTTCTTTCACCCCCTAATGCAAACTCCAGTCATTGTTTTAATGTAGCAGCGAGAAAAAATTGCTATGTGATTTTTAGCTTATCTTCAAAGTCCATTTTCCTCTGATAAAAAGGGAAATGCTTTAAGAAAGCCTTAGGAGACAGCTGGATAACCAAACCTAGCACAACTCACTGTAGCCTTTGACATTTATCTTAATAAACAGAAAAAAACTCTGCAATGATCAGAGCATCAAAGAGCGTAATATGGTGTTGATCTCAATAACTGGTGTGCTCATAGCTGAGCTGCCACTGATGATGACATGTAAAACCAAGAAATCAACTTTCATCTGCATTGCAAAGCTAACACGATCTGAGACTGAATAATGGCTCACCAATCCATAAAATCTGAGCTTCGTTGATTTTGATGCCTCTGTATGACTTCTATCATGTCATGCAATGAATAAAACATGTTTTGCTCCTGAAATGGAAAAGTGATAGTTGTGCTGCTGTTTAATGCAACACAGTTTTCTACATATGAAGCAGATAGTTAAAGATAATTTTAAAAAAGAACTAACCTTCTCACTGTTTTGTAGGCCACATATTTGTCAATTCATTGTTAATTACAGGCATGCTAGGGAGTGAATAATCAGCTAAAAACCAAAGTCTAGAAAAATGCTATTATAACAAAATTTAACAAAGCTGCTGAGATCTAAAATTAAGCTGTGATGATCTATTTTATACCTCCCATATAAATGAAAATCTTCCGCTGTTCATCTGTAGCTTTCAAATATATTTAATCCCTATTTATTTTTACGAAGTACGGAGACATCTTAAATGGAGAATGGAAAATTAGCTAACTTCCTCTTAATGGGAAACCAACAGGTTTTTGGATAAGAGCCTCGCTTTAAATATTCTCTTGTATATTCAGGTTTTCTCGTTGCTATTTCTATTACAGCAACCTTTTGTGTATGTGATGTTCAAATAACAGTGGAGTGTATGTGTGTGCCAAATTTCAGCAAGCATCTGAAAATACAGAATGTTTTTATGGTCAGAGGAAATGAGATAATTGCAGAGGCAGCTATGGCTGTTGCCTCTGTTCCACATTAGATGCTGATCTTTCTGCCCAAACTCATTCTGGTGGGTCTGGAAGTCTGAGAACTGGCAGGTTTGGGGGCTGCTTACAGTGGGACAGGTGAGAAAAGTCATCCATGAGTGTCCTATAACTAAGCATTATGGAAATGTATCTCTTCCCGAAGTTATACCTGTAATAGAAAGTCTGCTTGGAGGTGGGCCAAAGGTAATTTTAGCAACAGTAGAGCCATTTGCCCTTGGAGTATCCTGGTGCCACTTCCTTGCAGAGAGCTCAGAGCTTAGCTCTTTGCTAAGAGTTTTTGCATAGAGCCACAAGGAGGGGGGAAAGCATATAGCCATCATGTTTTCTGTGTTACCTCTATGCTTTCTGGGAGGGTTTCGTGCAGAAGAAGGTGTGGGATTAACACTGAAGCTCACCCAGAGTGCTCCTTAATTGGAGGAGATAAGGTATTAACAAGAAGAAAGGCAGGCTCATATACTCAGAATGTTTTTCTCAAAGAATATGCTTGAAATATATCCTCACGGTCTTTATCTTCTGAGGATTTTGTCATCCTCATTCATGTTATGTGTTTCCAGAGATTCACCAGGAACTCTTAATCTGTACATGGAGTAGTAATTCTGCATTCTTTCCACTCAGCTGCCTGTAGTACATTAAAAAGGTTCAGAAATAGTCCTGACTGATACTGCAGTGCTAGACATCGATTTATGTACTTTGGAGGACACATCATTAATAGCCGTGAGGAATGTCGCATTTGGAAGATCAAATTGCCCAACACGTACCGTCAGAATCCCTTCTACTCTAACAATCTGCTACTGCTACCGAGGGGGTGACTTTTAAATACTTTCAAGTCTCAATATTGAGCTAATGAAACTTCTAATAAAATTTAGGTAATTTGATATCCAGCAGAGCATGTTGCTAAGATGAAAATGTTTTCCTTCAGGTATTATAAAGTAGAGTGAGTACTGTGGCTTATGTCTACATATAATATAGAAGTAAGCGTACGAACTGAGGTTAGAAATCTTAGGAGGGGGAGGAAGGCAATTATTTAAGCCCGTGTTTTAAGGGATAAAAGAGGAATGGATAGTCGTGTGTCGTGTTCAAGCCATGCAGAGGAATTGATTGCTTGATTTTCTTTTCAGGTTTTGCAGATATGCCCTAAGGATATGAGAGCAGACATTTGTGTTCATCTGAACCGCAAAGTTTTCAAAGAGCACCCAGCCTTTAGGCTGGCAAGCGATGGGTGCCTTCGAGCACTTGCAATGGAATTTCAGACAGTGCACTGTGCCCCGGGAGACCTGATCTACCATGCTGGTGAGAGCGTCGACAGCCTTTGCTTTGTGGTTTCGGGGTCTTTGGAAGTAATCCAGGATGACGAGGTTGTTGCTATATTGGGTGAGTTTCACAGCTGATACCACACATTGTGTGCAAGTATAAATGCACAGAGTGTTTTTATAGCCTCTTGTACTCAAGCACTGAAGTCATTCTTTACTAGAACTCCAGTTGGGTTACCTTTATCACAGCCTAGTGGTGTATTTTGAAGAAATAGGCAGCCGTGTGGTGTTAGATGCTTACTGTCTGGAAGAATTAAAAGAGAAGGGAAATAAAAGTACATAATATCATGCAGAAGCATTGCATGAAGTCATTGGCTTGTCCTCCTGTTCCACATAGGTGAATAGAAAAGGTAATTATCTTGTGTACAGATTGCTTCAACTCTTCTTTCTTCTCATCAGTGGAAACATTGAGAGGTTGCTCTTGCTGTTCTTCCTGTCTTGCCATATTTCCTTTCGAAAGAAAATCTATTTAGGGCTTCAGAAAACTTTTAGAGGCCTCCCTACCTATCTTCTTTCCATCCTCCTGATAAAAACCTAGTTTTGCTGAACTATTTTTCTATTAGCTTTATTTTAGATTTTGTTGAAACAATATTTAGCTCAATAAGTCAAAGTAATGTAGGAATTCATAGCAGTTATGTTAACTTGGAGTGACAGCTTTAGGTTGGAGGCACTAAAAAGTAGCTGATAGTGCTATGAACAACATTCTGAAGCAAAGCTAGGAGAAAGGAGTGTGATAATCCAATAGATGTAGATAAATGATGGGGTGGCTGGAGAATTGAAAAGGTGATACTTATCCTTTGATTCTGTCAGGCCCTTTTGTGATAAAGTAAGTTCTCATGGTGTCTTTATCCAGTACCTGTCACTCATAGCAGCCTGGTAAAGAACTTGATAAGCCTAATTATTCTGAACACATACACTCAACTCTAAGAGGAATGTCTACTGAAAAATAAGGGTGCTAATAATATTCGGAGTTCAGTTTTCCTCTCCTTTTAAAGAGAATTGCATACATAGCACAGCATGAATTTCATGTCCTGAAGAGTCAAGTTCGTAATGTTTTGTGCTGTACAAGAAACTGAAAAAAGGTGAAAAATAGTGGGATAACTTTCTTTTTTTCAGGAATCAGACTGTGAAGCTATCTATTGAAAGTTTCTCCATCCTGATGAAAGTGGTTAACTGAAGTTTTTCCCTATTCTAAATCAGTAGGAACTGTGCTCCTTCAGCATTGTGTATCGCAACAACCCCATTACTGAAGATGCTGCAGGAGATTGATGTTAGGCAGGAAATCTTGGCCTTTGCAGTCTCAGTTTTCTTATCAGTAGAACAGCAATGATTTTTTTAAATTTCATTTTCAGCTAAACTTGCCAAGCATTTGATAAAACAAGGTACTACAAGGAAAGAAAGTGAAGCCTACATTGCACAAGAAACATGATTATTGCTGAGCATTCAGACAGAGCAGCTTATTCCATAAGTTTTGTTTACCAATCACAGCTAAGCACGGCTCAGAAGATCTGGTGCATAGCAGTGAACCATGTGAGGAGTTCTGTAGGGTAATTTCAGTTAACAGATATTACAGGGTGACTATAATCTCCTCATAGACATTCTTGAAAAAAAAAAATCCACCACAACAGTGCATAAGTTATTTCAGGTGAATTATTTGCTCAGGTTTGGTTGTCACCAAATAAAGCAGGCTCTGCAATTTGCAATGTAGCCTGTATCTTCTGCACAATAGAAGAATAAATTGCATCTCTAAATTACTGTGTGTGACTGTGGTACATTACGTAAACCAAAGGCAATCTATACTTGATCTGTACAGTATCCAATTCATATGAAAAATTTTCAAGTTCTGGGATCATTTAGCCTTGCAGACAGGCAAACAAAAGTGTATCATGTAGCCTTGGAGCACATTTTGTGCACTTGCATTGAGTCATGTAACAAGTATATTCTCCATTCAGGCTTAAGTTCTTACAAGAAAGAACTGACTTAGATTGACCTGGGTTAGTTGGAGTACTGATTTAGAAGAACTTGCACATGGGTCAGAAGTGGGAAAAAAATTTACTCTGTTTTGGATCACCTAATATTACATTTCCTGTTAATTTGACTTAGAGATGATTTGGCTCGCAAAATGAGTAAATTAAAAAAAAAAAAGTCACTGCAGCATTTATAGTAAAAGTTTAAAGAAATTTGTATCAAGTTGGATTTGCTGGGATGAAAGACACGTTTTTGAATTGTATCTAAAATTTCTACTGAAATAAAGAAATTACTAATGTTAATGTACCACAGATTATTGGACTTGATGTGTTTAAAAAAATAAAAATAAAAAAAATCCCCTCTCTCCCCGCCCGCCCCCCCAAGAAAAGAGAGAAATTTATCTTTAAGAAAGATGATTTATTTATGATTTGTGATTCATTCCAAAGCAAACAGTAAAGAAAGCAAGATGGCAAGACAAGCCACTGTGCCCTTTTACGTTAGTGCTTTGATCAGGAGAATTAGGTAGAAGTGGAGTTTGGCTAGCAGGAAGCAGCATGGATGAAATACAGTTCAGTTTTCTGTAGTTCCCTCTTCTTCCATTTATACCATTGTTATTGCTTAGAAAAAGGTCTGAGGTATGCTCAGCACTTCATGGAAACTAGAGACAAATAGCATGATTCCTGCCCTGAAGAGAACTGAGTGAACTGTAGGTCATCCAGGACTTCCATTAAGAGGCTGTTTTCTACCTGACTTTGCTTTTAACTTTTTGAAGAATTACCCATTTGGACTGATGCTGCTTTATCCATCAGAGGCTGTTACCTCTTTGAACTGCCTTTGCTTAAAAACTCACCCATTTATCCAAATGTGGTTAAGGAAAATGGGTTATTTTGTCACTGCTGAAAAACAATCAGGAATGTATATGCATTTCAGGTAGCAGCACTTTATTTCTCTCCTTTGGATCATAACCTTCAGGCTGAGCCACTGGCCATCTGAGAACCTAACCTTGTTACAGGCCTTTAAAGCCTTTAAAAAGCAAAATTTACTCATCCTCAGGAGAGATTTGCTGGATTTTAATGTAACGAATATCTTAAAAAGATCTCCCCTGACATCTTACAATCCCAGACAAGGATCATAAGCTCTGGCTACAGCTGTATTTAAGATGAACAGGGGAAAGGTGGTAGTAGGAGGAGCACGAAACTAAGCAAGTCTTGCTAGTTGTTTCTTAATTTAAGGAGGTTGGAGGACCTGACCTGTCTTTTAATGCACTTTTTGTACTTTTTACATTATAAAATGTTTTCTTAGTATAGCATGAGAATACAGATTGTTTTTTAGAACTGCAGTAAGCAAGAAACTGCTAGAACTGCTGAGTAGACGTTATGCTGTTGCTGAGGCTGTAGTACTTCTGAGGCTTCAGTCTTTTGGTCTGTGGCCCTTCTTGTCTCTCCTCAGCATTGTTAGAGGAAGTACTAACTTTTGTGTTACATCTCTAATTGCATGTGTGCAATGAAAATGTAATAAAAGTTGTAAAATGAAAAAAATGGCATTATAGCTAGTACCAAAGTTAACACAGTGAAGGAGAGGATATAAACCTTTTTAGAAAAGAAATCATATTGTGGTGTTGTACAAATATCTGATCAAGAATGCTAAGATAAAGATGCTTCTTAGTAGAAGGTAATCGGTTCTAATTTAGAGATTGTATTCGAAGACTGAACTGAGAATCCCTCTTTTCTAGTGAAAATGAAAGAGGCAATGGATTCTTGGACTAAGGCTGAGTCCAACCAGTCCAGTTTAAAACTGAAATCTTTGAAATTTCAGAAAGCCTTTCAGCAAAAGATTAAAACAAGGGATGGAACACCTCTTCTACAAGGACAGGCTGAGAGAGCTGGTGCTTTTCATCCTGGGGAAGAGAAGACTCCAAAGTGACCTGATAGCAGCCTTTCAGTATCTAAAGGGGAGCCACAGGAAAGAAGGAGACAGACTCTTTAGCAGGATCTGTTGTGATAGAACAACAGGAAATGGTTTCAAGCTTAAAGAGGGTAGATTTAGGTTAGGTGTAAGGAAAAAGTCATTTACAGTGAGGGTGGTGAAACACTGGCATAGGCTGCCCAGAGAGCAGGTGGATGCCCCATTCCTGGAGGCATTCAAGGCCAGGATGGAGTAGGCTCTGAGCATCCTGATTGAACTGTGGATGTCCCTGTTCGTTACAGGGGAGGTTGGACTAGATGGCCTTTAAAGGTCCCTTCCAACTCTAAGGATTCTATGGTTCTATGAAACTGAGAGAAAATGAGCCTTGAAATTAGGTTGACAGACTTTTTCTATAAAGCATTGTCTTGTTCTTAAATTTTCAGACTGCTGCAATATTTGTTGGCTAATTGCTCCCAGAGGGCCTGACTGCAGGGCAAACATTCACTGTGTGAATTGTTCGAAGTTGCCAAAGTGGTCTTGATGATCCCTGCAAGAGGATCATCTGTGCGTATGGATGTGTTTCAGATTTGATTAGATTAGGAGACCTTAAGCCTTTGTTTAACAATTGAAATTAAAGCCTTGAAAACCACTGTGGTCCTCAAAGCTGACCAATGGATAAGAAAAATAACATTTGCTAGAAGGTTTAATTTGAAAAGAGAAATAAATTCTCCACCCCCAGAACACTTTATCCTAAGAGGAAAGCAGTTTATCCCAAACTTACATCCCAGCTGTTTTGCATTTATTATGTTTTTACTATCTGTATTTGAGCTAAGAACTTTCAAAAGAATACAGTAGACTTCTGGTTTAGCAAAAAAGTATTAATGATTTATATCCCATACTGTCCCACAGTAGTATTTAAAATGTGTGTTCTGTGGAGTCTGTTTAGAGACCAGCTATTAATATTTGTGGAAATGATATATGACGTCGAAAGCCAGTAGAGAGCTTTATGCATATGCTTGTTCTTATACAAGAGACTAATAACAAAATTTCTCAGATTTTAGACACGTAGATAGGGCAAACTAGGAAGGATCCTAAATAAAAGCAGAGAATCTCAGTCACATGAGCTGGTTGGAGAACTGTGAATAGCTTTAGCGGTGTGCTGATCTACAGTCCAATGATTAGCATGTT